TAAATAAATAAATAAATAAATAAACGTTTCTATTTATGTTTTTTTTTCATATTAACATAGCCGTGTTCGTTTGGAACCTAAGACAGTAAGATGTTGGGTGATTTGAGGTTCCGGTCAGCGATGCTCGATTCGATTGGCTGGTTGAACATTACAAACCTGTTAGCAAAGTACCGGCTTACCTGAACGTCACAGATATTGCCGGTTTAGTGAAGGGTCAGTTCATTTGAGGCTGTTCCTTTGATTTCACACAGTCTAAGCCCCATTGATCCATACACAATTCTGAAATATTTTAGGAGCGGCTGAAGGTCAAGGATTAGGTAACGCTTTTCTCTCCCATGTATCTGCGTGTGAGGCTCTGTTTCACCTTTTGAGGGCCTTTGAGGACGAAGACGTCACTCATGTTGAAGGTTTGTCTGGAACTATTTTGCTACTTTTTCTGTTCGGCTTCTTAAATGAATTTTAAATAGGCGAGGTTGATCCCTGTCGTGACTTGGACATCATCAGTGACGAATTGTTCGCCAAGGACCTGCAGTCTTTGGCTGGAATACTAGATAAGCTTGAGAAGTTGGTTACGAGAGCAGGAGATAAAACTTTGAAGGTACGGTACAGGCGTAGTTATCGGTTGTATTACTGAGCCATCATTCTGAAGGTGGACTACGATACCCTCATGAGGGTGAAAAAGGATCTGGAAGAGAAGAAACCTATTCGCCTAGACGTCTGGAATGAAAAGGAGATAGAGGTGATGAATCTGACACTTTTGTTTGGTTATTCTCTTAATGTGCATCCTTTGAAGGTTCTGAACAAGCATTTGTTTTTGACTGCAAAGCCGATTGTTTATCTCGTCAATCTCTCGGAAAAGGATTATATACGTAAGGTGTGATTTGTGATTTTCTTGAAGATGACTTCTGACTAACGTAAACCCTGGACAATTTGCAGAAGAATAAGTGGCTTCCGAAAATTAAAGAATGGATCGACCGCAATGATCCAGGTGCATCATTAATACCATTTTCGGGAGCGCTAGAGACGAAATTACTTGATATGCCAGAGGATGAGCGTGAGAAATACTTGAAGGAGAAGCAAACCAACTCAAGTTTAGACAAAGTAAGTCATCAATTTGCATTTCTTTGGCGATTTTATCATTAAGGAGGGATATCTGACTACTGATGTTAGACGACTGCTCCAAGGAAAATCTTGCATTCTTTCTCAATATGAATGTGTCAGTTGTGATCACTAGAAACAGCACACAAAGTTTCACGCATGAAGATTCGTTTCCGAAGAGAAACAAACTTACAAAAACTACACTCTATGGACAATCGAAGGTAAGTGGCGCGGAGCCAAAGGCGGGGCATGGAAAGAAGTCCGCCTTGGGGCGGCTACGTATCAGGCGACGCAATGAAAGAATCGGGTTAAAGCGTGCGATTTTGGAGAGTAGAGACAAATCGATCGATAGAATAGGATGCAGTAGAAGTGTGAGATGTGAATGCAATAAGTCAAAAGGCCAGAAAGAGTTTCTAGTGACGGCACTCCAAGAACCAAGTGGAAGCATTCCCGTCGCCAGCATTTGTGACAGATGTCCGGCGGAATTTTAAAAATAAATTAGTGGTTCTTTCGGTTTTTCGGAATTGTTTACCGGAACAAACGCAATTTGTTGTTCTTTCATTCTTATTGTGGACGATGATCTCAAGCTACTGGTTCAGGGACGCGATAGAATCATGATTTTTCCGTGAAGAATTCCTTTAATATGCTGTGTTGCAGATTGTTCACACTGGCTATAAAGCTTTACAACTGGAATACTTTTTCACGTCCGGGAAAGATGAAGTGAAGGCTTGGACCATCCAGGTATCACTAGTTTTTTTTTTACAATTTCATGATCACTACTTTGACATAATAGGCGTCAATATAAACTTTGCTCATTTGATATATTGTTTACTCTTAGAAAGGAACTCTGGCGCCGAAAGCTGCTGGCCGCATCCACACTGACTTCGAAAAGGGTTTCATCATGGCTGAAGTGATGAAGGTCGCCGACTTGATTGAGCTCGGGGACGAGAATAAAGTAAGTCATCGACACTGTTTCAACTAATATGGTTTCGCTTTTTGAAAAGTGATCCGTCGCTATTGATTGGTTGTGAACTCATTCTGAAGAAGGTCGTTAGCACATTGGCAAAAATTACCGCAGCAGTAATTACTGTGTGAGGTTAGGGTGCGTGATATAAGGTTCGTTCCATAAAATACACTCACCTTACGGTTCCCACAGTTTTTATTTGCAACTGCAAGGTGATTTTTTCTTGCTTACTTTTTTCCAATCGCTCGGCCAACAGCGATTGGCAAGCGATTGCGCAATCGCTTGCAAAGTGCACAAGCGACGGGCAATGGCTCTGCTCGATCGATACCGCAGCCGACTGCATTGGGGGGCGGGGCCAATCGCCCGTCGCTTGTGCACTTTGCAAGCGATTGCGCAATCGCTTGCCAATCGCTCGACCGAGAGCGATTGGCAAGCGACGGACAAGCGATGGAGCGATCGCGATCGCTCCATCGCTTGTCCGTCGCCGAGTGTGACGGCGGTCTAAGGTAGCGTCGAGATTGGTGATTGCACATGCGATCAGGCGATGGCCAGTAGGTCTTGATCATTTAAAATATTCAGCACTGTTCAACTATTACAACCCCAAAATCTCAAAATTTTAATTCTCCCGAAACTTCGCCATAGGGGTTATTCGATGCCCTGATTACGAAAACGAATGAGACATTCATTTTTGACGTTGGCGCCATCTGGCGCCAATTGGCGCCAGTTTGGCGCCAGGGCTATTTTCACCAAATTCGCTGTAAACTTGTATATAGGGGTTATTTGGGGTCCTGATCACGAATATAACATTCATTTTTCCCGCTAGCGCCAGTGGGCGCCTGTTTTCCGCTCGTCTGCGCCCTCTCACTGATCAGCTCGCGATCAGGACTAAGCCTTTGAGGAGGGAGTGCTCCGAAGTGAATAACACTTATCCTGTGATCTTATACGCTTTAACATTTGCCACATGTTGACTGGTTCACCCACCCCGGAGTCCTCCCTCCTTCTAGGCTTAGTCCTAGGTATTATGTACAAGTGAGAGGACCCAGGAAAATGGAAAATGTGCGTTGAACGGTGGAAATGCTAAAAACGAATGACATATCCGTAATCAGGACCCCAAATAACCCCTATATACAAGTTTACAGCGAATTTGGTGAAAATAGCGCCTGGCGCCAACGCCAAAAATGAACCTCATTTTCGTGATCAGGGCATCGAATTACCCCTATAGGCGAAGTTTCGACGAAAAATAAAATTTTGAGATTTTGGGGTTGTAATAGTTGAATAGTGCCAAATATTCAGTTATAGATCTTTTTTTAGTGCTTTTCTTGTTAAGAACCTCCACTCTCTAAGTTGACTCTTTCATTTGTCTTTTTGATTTCTTGTTAATGCGCTGATACGCGCGTAAAATCGTTGTCAGCTTTGAAGAGAAGGCAAAGTGATTTGCGGAAATGGTAGAAGCAGCTCAATTGTGCGACCTCCTCGGAAGCTTTTATCTTATGAAACGTTGATGAAAACTAAGCGCATGTGAACGCGGCCCTCTGGATTCGAAACCATTACAAAATTAGAGCGTGAAAAATGTCACTCTAAGCGACAGTGATGCGCGATGGTGCACCTTACGCATCGATACACAGAAGTGAACACGGTGGATCACGTGCACAGACGATACGCAGTGGACTCAGGGGTGATTCGAAGTGCGAGAAATAGTCAGATTAACAACAGCTCTTAACATGTATGTATTTCAGTGCGTCTTTGTTCAAGACTTTCACCCATAGGTGATTTGGATTTTAAGCAGGCCAACGTAAGGTGAAGTGTTTAGGTAAATCCACCGGATGTGGATGGGGATATTAAAAGAAACTAGCTCACATAAACGAGGTTTTCCGTTTTTGGTTTTAGTGAACTGAGTTCTTCTTGTGAGAAGAGCATGGTGAGCAGTCAGATGGCCTGTTTTATG